AAATGTAATATATAAATATACTGTGGGATTTTACACATAAGCTTAATTTATTTCCTATGAGGAACATTCATGAGAAAGGAAGGGTTTAGATTAAAAATTAGAAATAATTTGATAACGGTATATCAATTGTTAAATCTAGAATGGGTTAAAGACAAAGTCATCTTTGTCCTCTAAAACAGAGGTTAGCTCTCATCTGTTTGGAATGATTGGCTTGTCTAGAAGCCAGGGAATAGACTAGACAATCGTTTAAGGTTCTTTCCAGCCTTGTGATTCTGTGATATATTTATACAACTTCTAGCATAATCTGTGCATAGTGTAGTTGAAACATTTCTGATTCCTGTGGTCAGTGTGACCTAGAATATATTTCATTACTTGTTTATTCCAGATTCTTATTAAATTATATGGCAAATTTTAAAAATTCAAGGGAAAGATATCATAGAAAAAAACAAATAAACAATTTTGATGTAATAACAGACAACAGTGACAGTTGTCTCTCTGCAGCTAACTGACCAGGTTGTGACGTGCAGGGAAAGCCAGGAAATGTCATGAAAAGAAACCAAGTTTGAAGTAGTTCACGAATGTTTAAAGAAACTCATTTCCTTATTATATGTATCATTTTACTAAAGTTTCAAAGTGCATAAAACAAGCAGAGAACAAAAATATTATTTTAACCTAATATATTCAAGAAATAATTTGTGGTATGAATAGCTCCTCTTCTTGGTAATTTATTAAAGGAAAAGGGGGAAAGTGATTTTGGAGACGAGTTAAAATTTTAAAGACAGTGGTTCTCAACGTTGAACAGTAGAACTCTGAAAATGTGTTCCCATGGAAACATTGTTCTCTAGCGTTAATAACAGTTCTACTTCAGGTACAGTATGAGTTAAACAAGCTCCTGTGGGCTGGCCTGGGACTCTATCCACCATGTAGAACATTTATTTTATGAGAAAATGTGTTCCAAGTTCCAAACTACTGACTTACAAATGAACTTTAGAATAGTATCCACTTACAAGACTTGAATTGTATATCATTTCATTCATTCACAATGACACCTCTCCGGCCAGAGTCAAATTAACGCATATAGCATACATTGCTCACTGGAAGATAGCTATCATCTCTCTCTCTCTCTCTCTCTCTTTCTCTCTCTCTCTCTCTCGCTCGCTCTCTCTCTCTCCGCTCCCCTCTTTCATTCTATCTCTTTCTCTCTCTCGAACTAAATTTAAAATTTATTTAATGGAATAAGACACTGAAGAGATTATTTAAGAAGAAAGGGAGCATGAAGACACCAAATGTTGGAATGCCTATAAAAATCCCATTACATCTGCCCTTATAGAAATAAAAATACCTTTGAAGTTTATATTTTAGAAAACTCCGCCTCGACAGAAAAGCATGGACAGCTGCTGCTGGCTAAATGTTGGACCTTTGCAGGGAATATAACGCAAACCCATGATAGCATCATTTCATTTATTCTCTAAAGCCAGATTTCAATTTCTTGGGCCAGCTTAGTAATTTCTTGGAAAATGGAGACTGCATACAATTTGAAAGACATGAAACTATTTCCAGAAGCCATCGGAATGCGATTTCCAAAAGACTCATAACCACCTTTGTTAATGGTCTGATGCTATCTTTCAGAACATTGTTCTCAGGACGATAAAGGTCCAAGTGCCACAGTCACATCACAGATGTAAGAATTCAAAATTATTTCTTTTTTGTTGGAGAAGGGCAAAAATTGTTTGCATGGGAGCTGAAAAGATTAAGAAAGCAAATACTTTTACTACTTATTGTTAATTAATTATTGTAATTAAATATTGTTAATTGTAAGTTATTATTCGTTTTATTTATACTGAGGATTACAAATTAGAAATAGCACCTACTCCATGCTAATTGTTTGATTTCATTATTTTATTGAACTTTTTTGAACCTAAAACCATACCAGCGAGTGGCTATGATTCCCTATTTTATGCAGGAGAAAACTAAGACAACCAGATTGTCACTTTCCAAATTTAACAGAATAGAATGACTACCCGTGGCACCTGGACTTGAACTTAGGCCCTCCCGAATTTAAGCGCCATTCTCCTAATGCCGGGCTTACATGTTCTGGCGGCACAGCAGGATCTCCAGCAGAGTCTTTTAAAACCTCTATTTGCAGTGGCCCTTCTGAAGATTCTGGGGTAGAGCCCAGAAAACAATTTTTGTTTAAATAATAAAGTGCCACAAGAGATGACAGTTCAGACAAGGTTAAGAATCCTTTTCACAGCTATCACATCAGCATTGCCCTAAGTGTATTCCTGAGAATCCTAGTCCCCAAAGACACTGAGGAAAAAGAAAATAACATAATTAAATAAATTTGGGAAATGCTATTCCTTTGTCACCCTCTCAGAGATTATTCACGACAATTATTCACATTTTAAAGACTGAGAACTCCTTCAATTAAAAACAGAAATCTGTTCAACTGGCTTTCGCCTAGTGTTTCCCAGTCATAGTTGGCCAGGGAACAATTTAGAAGTGTTTGTGGCTCTCCTGTGCATCCCACAGAACTCAATTCAGTTTGGAAAATGCTGGCCATCACATCTACTGTGACGCTTTTCAACAGCTCTTCAGATTACCAAAACCTTGAAAAATTTTCAAAGGGTAGAGGAGTCAGAGATCCTATGCCATGTGCTCTTAGATTGCTTCAGCCTCTTGGTCAAAAACAGAATCGCTTTCCAATGTCTTAAACTTCCCTTTCCTGTTGCTCTCCCCCTGCAAGTTCCAAGTCTGACTGCGGCTGTCAAACAATGTGATTCTAAAGAAGAAAAATGCATCTAAAGAAACCATATTAGATTTGGAGAAGGTCTAGAGGCCACTGGGATTCCTCCTAGGTTTCCCCAAAGTAGGGTCAACTGACCTCAGTTCAAAGGAAAAGATTTACTCATTCATTTCTTC